TTTGTATATTTTACAGATTAGACCTATTTTCACTCTGAGAATATTCCAGAATCCTGTCATATTTTCCTTTCTGACATCTCTAAGACTCATCTTTTCCTGTGAGTCTCCAATCACTAAAATCCTTTCCCATAGTTTGGTCTTCTTTTTCATTTATTCCTTATAAATGCCTCCATTGTGGTCTCTATTCTTGAGTTCGCTCTCTGTTAAGGCAATCTTCTTGGTGCCTTCATTACAACATCTTTTTAAAATGCCTTCACTGGTTTCTCTCATCTGCATTAAATCTGGACATTAGGGACTTTCACTGTTCTTTGTTGCCTGATTCTTTTTTTTTTTTTCTGTTGTTCTTGCTGGTTTTCCATATTTCTTCTTAATTTCTTAATACCTGAACTCTTTATATGTGTTTTTTTTTTAATTTCCCTCATTCATTTTTGTTTTCCTAGGCAGTTTTAAAGCTGTCTCTTCCCCAGCCAAGAACATTTTCTTTCCCTTTCATATGCCAAACCCAGCTTCTAACAAGTTGTATCCTGTAACCCTTCTCCATTTCTCTCGCAGCACTCTTCCTCACATTTGCTAATGTCTCTCTCTTCCTTATGATAGTCTTTTTTTTTTTAATCAGTGTACGCTATAGCTATCTAATAGAGTATATGTGTGTCCCCTTTTGAAACAATCAGATCTATCATCGATCAGGGAAGGTCTTTGCTATTAGTGCACTTGAGTACATGCTATTGCCTCCATTGCTACTACCTTTGTTTGGGGCTGACAATTACAGTTACCACCCAGTTGGTCTCACTGCCTTGGTTATCTTTCCTGGTTATTCTGCCTTTACATCGTCCTCAGAGACGTCTTGGTGGTCTGGACCCCTTCCCTTCTTCAACAAAACAGAACAGCAAAGTTCTGGCTTTCCGTGGCCTAGAAAATAAAGCTCTTCTTCCTAAGGTGTGCATCAAGAGTCTTCAGACCCTGGCTCCTCCTCACTGTTCCTGACTCACCCTATCACTTTTAACCCCAAATCCTAAATCTCAGTAACATAGAACTGCTTGAGGAGACAATTTACTATGTGTTGAGGTCAAGAGTGTTCTGCTAGAGACCAATATAGTCTGCAGAATTATTTACTATCTTTTAAAAATGAAAAAGATTTTCTGTAAATGTCTGTTTTTCTGGCTTCATCTCAGAAAATATGGCAACACTGTACCACCTACCCACCCAGCGGTAGAGGGTTGGAGTGGAATGGGAAAGCCCCCTTGGGTGAAGCAGCTCTGTCTGCAGTTTGCCATAGTTTCTGCACTCCTGTTTGCCTCCTCAACATTGAGGCAAAGCATCATTTGCCATTTATCACTGCTCTTGTGCTTTGTTTTATCCCCTAGTATTAGAAGAAAATTGTACCACATGTCTATAGATGAATCAAAGATGAGTCAATACTGTTTTGTTTTTCAAGATGTGCTATATGGGGCCCACTTGACACTATCATTGTCCTGCCCCTGCAGACATCTGAGTTGGATCTCTGACAGAGTGGCTTAGCGCTAAGGGTCTGTGTTTACATTCTGGGTCCATCACTTTCTAGCTGTGTGGTTTGGGGCAAGTTACTTAAACATTCTCTACCTTAGTTTTCATATCTATAAATCGAAGATGATTTATGGAAAGTGCTTGATACATCTCAGCTACATTTTGTCATCATTATTATTATTCTGCTTTCCACAAATCTAATGATAAGAATGACAGATCCATGAGGGACATGGTTTGGGGCAGGCTTTGGGGCAAGGGGTCTTTTGGTGCCTATTAAACCACATCTCCCTAGTTATGAGTTTTGCCACTTACTAGCTGTAGACTGGTCAAGTTATTTAACCTTACTGTGGCATCATGTTGTCATATTTAAAATGTTAGTGATGACAGCATAATCATAATAATATCCACATTTTTGTTAATGATGCCTCATCTGAGATTACCACGTACTGAGCCAACCATGTACTATGTGTAATGGATGCCCGTCTGCCACATAGTAAGTACAAGTGAATAGTAGTTATTATTGTCATCAGCTGCCCTGCCTCTTGCCCAGGGAACATCACCCAGTAGTTGTGAGGTCCCAGGGAGCCAGGTGACCCACCTGCATGTTTTATGTGTTACCTCTGCATGGGCTTTTCAAAAATTAAGATATAATTCATATACCATAAAATTCACTTCTTAAAGTATACAATCCAGTGGTTTTCAGTATAGTCAGAAAGTTGTGCAATCATTACCACTAATTCCAGAATGTCTTCATCACCTCCAAAAGGAAACTCCACACCCATTAGCAGTCGTTTCCCATTTCACTTTCCCCCCAGTCCTCCACAACCACTAATCTATTTTCTATCTCTATGGATTTGCCTATTCTAGACATTCCATATAAAAGGTATAAATGAAATCATATGATACATGGCTGTTCATGGGCTTTTTTTTTTTTTTTTTTTTTTGCTGTGTGTTTTTCTGAGGAGTAAAGCTGCACCCTTTTCCAGAAAACAGATTTCTGCTGGGAACATCAAGGAGCCCCTAAGTAGGAAGTTTCAGTTAGGAAGACAACATCAGCCATTACTAACCTAAGAGAAACAAAACCAAACAGACTTAGATCCTAGGGGCCAATGTGAGTATGTTAAGAATTTTGAGGAGCAGCAAACCATTAGTATAAAGAAGCAACCAAGCTAGATTACCTTGAATTCTTTACAGCCTGACCCTCAACACACCGTGGGAATCTCAAATGTCCATCTGTGGACTTCCTGCCTTAGATTTACCTCACAGTTGGTGAAAAAGACACATTCTGGACCCTTTCTCAGGCTAACTGAATCAGAATTCCCAGGGTGGAGGTTGAGGAACTGCCAAAGATGGTTCTGCCAGGAAGTAGGTTTGGAAATTGTTGACTTATGTGGGGCAAGGTTATATGACATGGATACGGATCTGTGTTGTATTTCATCCTCAACAACACTGCTCTGTAATGTGGATGTTCTTTTTAAGTGAACATGTCTGATCTTCTTGGTAGAGTTTTACAGTTAGGGCTTATTTTTCTTTGCCCATCTCAGTCCCCTGCACACAGCTGTACACAAAGTAGGGGCTCAGCATATATTGGGTGATTGGTTACACAGGAGGCTTGAAGGCATCACTGGGATACTGCCAGACCCAAAGCCACTAAGGTCAACAGGTCTAAGAGGAGCACTTTTTGCCCATTCTAAACATTCTTTGTTTGAGATTTCAAGGCTGGTGTTTGTTTTCAGGGCTCTGATTTGTGACCCATAGTCAGGAGCCCTTTGATGTTTGGGTTCCAGAAGATGTCCCCAGAGCAGTCCCTTCACAGGGACCTCTCAGCCCTCTGTGCGGTGCTGGTAGGTAGAGGGGTGACCAAGTGTAGGGGTGGTTCCTATACTTGGAAGATCCCATGATGCTTGTTAACATGTAGATACATGTCCCTCACCCCAGACCCACTGAATCGAATTGTTGTCCATGAAGGGAAAATTGCTACCCAGATACTATCCAAATATTACTCTAGAGCTTGAAGAATATGACCTTCTGCCTATGTGTGGAGCACAATGTTCTGTGTTCATGGGAATTTACCTGGATAGGGCTATGGACTGGCCCTTGGGAGACTGGGCTTAGTCCTGGCCCTACCCTTTAGTTAGTCCCTACAGGACACTGAGCAAGCCACTCACCTTTCACTTTGCTTCTTTGTAAAGTGAAGGATTTGGATTAGGGGAGACACCAGGAATGCAGACATGATCACTGATACCCGTAGGAAGTGTCTCTATAAATCCGGGCATCCGTTCTCAAGGACCCACCTCTTCTGTGTGCTCTGAGGACAGAATTGTCTTCTAAGACCGGGGCTAGCATCTGTTCAGTAACATCGGAGGTCATGTTCCCTAAGCCCACTGTTTGGAGGTTTGATGGTTGGTGTGGGATGGTGGTGACATTAAACAAGAAGCATGGGAATACCCTACCCTTTCCTTACTCACTTGTCCCTTCCTTCTCTTTTTTTCATATTCCAGTAATTAAGAGTTTTATGTGCACAATCTCCATTTATAAACTGCAGATAGCTCATGGGAGTGTGAAAGTCACCAATTGTTATTTTTTTTTCTTTCTTTTTTTAAAAATTTTTTGTACTGTCTTATGGTGCTGATAAAGTCAATTTAACCAATTGTTCATACCCTACTATGAAATACTCAATTCTAGCCATTGGAAGACTTTTTGTTTAACTGCTATCTGTTGCATTAATAAATTAGAGTGGGCAGATAATGGCACACGGATGCTGGGCTCCTGGTTCCTGAGGAAGGGGACAGAGGGGCCCACCTAGGTGGGGATGGCAGCAAAGACAGCCACCGATTTGCCAGTGCTCTGGTAATGGCGCTATCACCATCACTTTTGATGTTTTTGGTAGAAATCCCCTAAACTAGTAATGCTTCATTTAGACCATCTTTGGGTGAGATTATTATCATCCTTTCTTATTTTGTTAAAGACTGTGGGAATCAAACATACTGTTTGCCCAGGAACTGGCTAAGGCTTTGGTTACTATAATTCTGACTTTTCATGTGAGCTTAAATCTCAGTTTGTCCCCAGATATTATTTATTCAACTCTCACTTAGGTCGCACAATCGCTGTTCCATTCAGGTTGGTCCTGTGCAGTATTGTGGGGGAAGAAGCAACTTCTTTGCTCTTGATTCTTTGGGCTCTCTCTCCTTTTCCCCTAGTATATCCCTTCCTAGCCCATGTATTCTACATGGCTTATGCATGCAGATTTACTTGCATTTACTTGTATTTAGCTGCAATTATAGTTTTTCCTTTTTCTTTGGTACAACAAAATTAATAAAGAATCCTTAGGCATAATTTATGTGTTCCTGTAGTCTCTGCCCCATTGTCTGGAAAACCACAAACTTCATTTAGATGCCAGTGAATCCGTCATCAGGCTTAGGGTAAGCCATGCATTTACCAAGATCCTTACTTGAGCAGTGGTTTAGCTGTTTAATCTTTTGTTTATAATTTTACAGTTGCTGAAACAGAAGGAAAATGCACTCCCTTGGAGAAGCATGACCTTTTTGTGTTGCTTCCTACTGCTGTTGTTGAGCTCCTTGGACCCTGCCTCCTGGACACCATCATCAAGAAGACTTTATGGATGGGCCATCCACTCCCTGAGAGAAGAGGAGCATCAGCTGCAGTTTCTCTCTAGATTGCGTTCTTCATTTTGAGTAATGACTGTCAGCAGGGTCAGATTAAAGACAAAACAATGGGACAACTGCTTGGAGGACTAAATTATAAAGGCACCAACATGTCAGTAGTATGATTTATCAGCCCTTCTCTCAGAGAGGAATCTGTGTGGGGTTGGAAGGAATGGTTTGTTAAATTCCTTAAGGGTGGAAAGCAGGTCATAATCAGAATATAGAGGAATATGCTGTTTGGCTGCAGGGTTTGTTTTTCTTACTAGGATACATAAACAGGGACTATAGCTAGATTGTTTATGACCCCAGAAGGTAGGATGAGCACCCCCATGATCCTCTTGCTCAGTTCTTACCCATACAGACCTCAACCTTTCCTCTAATAAAGATTGAACAAGTAGTGATTTGAGGGAGACACCAATTCATTAGCCTACATGTCTCTTCTCTACACTCTAGGGCTTCGATAATAAAGACACTGGCAGGCTGTCTGTCTTCCACTTCTATAATGTGAGCCCTTAAGCACTCTTCGTTCAGTTGGGGGTGAGGGTCATTGCTCACAGAGCAGTTCAAGTCTTTACCTAGGGACCTGGTGGTCAAACTCTGTATTGAGTTCATTAGATTACTGGAGACACAAGGTAGAGCTGGGCCCTTCAAAAATACTTGGCTAAAGGATAACATTGCTCGTTATTTGTAGATAAAGCCATCATGGAACATGCCTGGAATCATGAAATATGGAACCAGTAGTCATGTTTAATAATGCAACTAACAGTCAAGTACCTACTGGACATTGAAGAGACTTAGGGGCAAGATAGATATGGTACCTGCCCTCATGGAGTTTACACCATAGCTTTCCCGTAGGTATGAAGAACAGTGGCTACAGCTAACAAATGGCTACAAAGATATTCTTGAGCCAGTGTTCCAATTATTAGGCTAATTCCTGTTTCCTTAATCATGCCTACTGACCATGTTCTATAAGCCTGCATTCTATAAATGGCCTATGAGCATGGGCTGTTTCCCCCCAGCAAATTTTGCAAAGTCCTGTGGTACCAGGGAAAGGGCTTAAGATTAGCAGGGCCTCTGGGGAAGGACATATGAAGTGACTTGGGTCAGGAAACAGGAAGGGATAGGGTTCAAGAAACAGCTATTGCTTTTGTTCTATATAGGAAACTGCAATGTGAAAAATGCTGGGCTGGGAATTTTGAGACATGGGTTTTAGTTTGTGTTCTAATACTAACAAGCTGTGTGACTGTGAGTAAGACATTGCACATTCCACTTGGATGCTCCTTGAGTGTCTCCAAACCCCTCCTACTCTAAAACGTTAAGATCAGGCCCTAGGCTACAGCTGGCCAGTTTGTAATTTTCCTGTTTCTATGCTGTTAGGCCAAATAGATCTTCAACAGTTACTTGATTATTACTTTTTTTCTGAAGTGGGTGTTTTGTCAATGTTTTAGGATACAGTGAGTCTGCTTCTCCCCTTTGAAGTTAGGAAGGTTGCAGCAACATACACTGTAGAACGTATGGAAGCTTTATTCCCGTTTTTCCCACCCCCCGTCTTTCTCCCACTCCTTCTCTTCCTCATATTTCTATTGAACATATGCCATTGCCATGTACCAGTTATGTGCTAGGTTTAGAGACACAAGATAAACCTGATACTTTCCCAGACTCCAGGAGACAAAAACCCTCCTTTTTTCATCTGCTGGCTTTCTCTTTGGAAAGAATCAGTGATGTCCCAGGGGAGTGTGCCCATGTTCCAGGGTAACCAACTACAGAGAGATGCCCCATTCTACTCAAGCAACTTTAGAGTACCTTGAGATCCACATCAGATAATTATTCAGGGCTGGGCATGGTGGTGCACACTTGTAATTGCAGCACTTCCGGAGGCCAAAGCAGCAGATTTCTTGAGCCCAGAAGCTCAAGACCCACTTGGGCAACATGGCAAAACCCCAGCTCTGCAAAAAAAAATACAAAAATTAGCTGTAGTTGGTGGCCTGTGACTGTAGTACAAGCTACTCAGGAGACTGAGGTGGGGGGATTGCTTGAGCCTGGGAGGTTGAGGCTGCAGTGAGCCGAGATCATGCCATTGTGCCATTGCACTCCAGCCTGGATGACGTAGGGAGACTCTATCCCAGAAAAAAAAAAAAGATAATCATTCTATCCTAGAGTCATTGTGGAAAGATCTATCTTCAGATATAAGGAAGAAATAGTCTTTTATTTCTTAGGATAAATCTGTAGAAGGACAGTCCTTCAGACAGTGAAGGCCCTGACTACTTTATACTCTGTAACCCATCCCTTCCCTGGTAGGGAGGACTACTTCTTAAACTTACAAAGTACCTCTAGGCAAATAGACATTTTCATATATACTGTGCTTCATATATCCCTATGTCTGATGACCTCTTTAAAAAGGAAAGGAAAAAGCCTAATCACACAAAAAGATGTTGCTATTCTTACCCTGTTGTGAATCCTATATAAGCAAATTCATATCTTTGTTTTTTCCAACATTAGCAGATCTATTTGATGTATATCTCTGAGTGCAGAAAATATTTTACAGAAAGATAAATCTATGGAATTTCAAATTCAGAATTGTTGATACCTGCTATTTGGTTTGAGAATTTTGTCCTGGGAAATAGTATTAGGGATTTCAATTTCTGACTTAAATGGTAGAATTAGTTACTCTTAACTCTTGATTTTACTTCTGAGTTGAGGTCAAGGAACAGGCAGATACCTTCAGTTAATGTCTGTATCTCTCCATGACCAAGAGCTTTAATTTTCTTGTCTTCATTTTTGCAGATGAACATCATTACTAAATGGATTGAATAGTATTTTATCTTCTCTCCTTGTCCTTACTTTCCCTCTGGTAAATATGTTATAAACAGTGTAAGGCTCATAAATTAGAATCGCTGGTAGGACTTGGAAGAGAAACAAAGGGCCATTGATAACTCACACAAATGGAAAATCAACCCTGAAATAATTGACAATATATTCAAATATTTTGGTGCAGTCTCACTCCCATTAAGAAGAAGAGACTCAGTAAATCTATATGACCCTAAACATTCTAATGAAAAGGGGAACATTCTGTCAATCAGCCCATATTTCTAAATATCTTGATATTGGCCATTGTAAAGACAAACGTACAGATGATGGACTTGTCTTTCTACTTCTCATTTGCATGGTCTGGAGCCTTGTACCTCCAGCCATTGACTCTAAGGCAATTTATATTTGTTTCCTCTTCCCTCTTGAGAGAAAACAAAAATCTCACTTTTCCAAGCAATTAAAACTCTTCTGCTTCAGCTAGGATGAAAGAATTTGGAGTTCTGTCTCCTTGTATATAATTGCATGTTTCATCTTCCTTGTTTTAATGATTGACAGAAAACTGATAAACTGAGACATCTTTGAATCAAGGTTGAATATACTCTCTTGGTGGCCCCATTGCTAATTTGTTTGACTATTTTGCAGGATTTCTTTCTCTGTAATGGAAAGGTTTATTAAATATGAGGGGTGCAAAGCTTTCTGAATACTAATGAACTTATTTGCCAAAATTTAAATGTTCTTCTTGTCAGTGAATGTCTGTCTCTCTTAACAGGATCCAAATTGAATAATGAAGAAAATTAGACTCTATTGTACCCTCAGGAGAAATTGTGGTGAATCGTAATAGAATACAGAGGGGGAAAGGGGTCACATTTTAGAAAAAAGAGTAGATAAATTGGATTATAAAAAAAGGGATTAACTCTGGAAAAACTCCATTCTTTTCAAAAAAATGTACTAATAGTCATTCAATGAGCAGGATTTCCCACTGCACAAGCATCTATACCTTTGGCCAGTGTAGAATGAGAGTAAGGTCATAATCATAGGGAGATGCATGCTAGGTTTCAGTGGTTATAATTTACTAACCTCATTCCCATATAAGGCTTTTATATGCCTATGATGGAATGGGAAAATCAATAAACTTGGAAAAGGAACACTATTCTTCAGAGAAGTTCAATGAGAGATAGTTGAGTTGGGGAAATTGCCTCAATTCTTCTTTTAAGCATGTAATAAGGCTCTCTCTTTGTATGTTTACTTCCATTGCCTTGGTGTTATCACTGATAAAGTCAATGATCACAATGCCTTTGCCTTGGCAGCACCTGAGGGACACTGGAGGAACCAGGTAGTTGTACTCGTGGCCAAAGAGGAAAGCTGCCAGAACTTTAGCAGCCACACAAGTGGCCAAACATTGTCAGGAATAAAAGTAGTGTGTGTGTGTAGTGAAATGAAGTGATGGAGGGAAAGTGAAGGAGAATACAAAGGTGGGACTGTGCAGAGATGGGAGTTCATCCCTGTCCTACACTTGAAATAGGAAGGCATGGACTGGAAAAGGATTAGGTGAGGAAGGATCCCCAAGTAGAGAAAATAAAGGGAAGGCTGCATGCCTCCAGTGTTTGCTAAAATTAATTCTCCTGAGATTTCAGGGGGAGAAATGATCAGGAGAAAGGGAAAACAGCCTCAAAGCCTGTAAGGGTTCAAACAAAATATAAACAAAAAAAATTTTTAAAGCTAAAACTATGCTCTTCTAATAAGAAAGGCTGGACACTAACAGAAAGCTTGATGACAGCAGGATTTGTATTTAGCAATTTATTTAGATCCCTAAGAGAAAAGGCTTATGTGACATAGATTCATAAGATAGAAATGTGTCTTTGGCTAGCTATGATACCAGGCTTCACTCTCAAAGGAGAAAACGAATGGTTGGTGCATCTCAGATGAACACCAACCAACTGTGCAATATTTCATTTGAGAATGCATTTCCTTGTAGTATCCATGATTAAATAAAAAGAGACCTAGTGTATTTGATTGCTTCTGTGGCAAGGCTTGAGAACTATAGACCTAGATTTCCTACTGGGAGTGATCATAGGATTTTTAAAATTAAGTAAATGGAAGGAGATTAAGATTCATCTCTATCATTTCAAATAATGATCTGCACCTTTGGAAACAAAGAGGAAGTTGGAAAGTGGGAAGGTGAGGCAGGTGTGCAAAAATGGGGAAAAGGATGCCACAAGCCAACTAAAACTGTACAATTTGTGAGAAAATTAAATGAACAATAGAGTTTGAAGTATAAGTGAGTAATGAGGAATATGAGATAATGAGATATTTAAAAATAGCAAATTACTTGGAAGAGTGAGGATGAATGATGGGAGATGGTTAAGGGATTTGGGAAGGCAAGGAAGAGAAGAGATGCCTGGGATGGGAAACAAAACGTGATTAATGGCTGTAAAAGGGCACATTTGGACTCTCGATGGCATATCTTTCCAAACTTTGGAGAATGTGCACAACCTAGTAATAAAGAAGGAAAAGATTGAAAGAGTTCATGGTTAACATGAAATTGTGAGGACAACAGAGGAAGCAGTAGGTGTCATTAGTCCTATTAGTCCTCAGGAATGAAAGCATTTCTAGAGAAACTTATTAATCTATGTTCTTCATTTATGAGCAGAATAGTTTTCATCTACTTTTTACAAAAGTTTTATGTATAAAATGAATGCTATTAAAGGAAACAAAAGCTAAGCATTATCAGGAAACTTGAAGAAAAGATTGCACCTAGAAAAACGGAAGTAAACCAGCAAACCTGTTTCAGAGCCTTTTCTATAAAATTTTGAAATTTATCATCTTAATGAAAGAACTGGAAATCGTTTTTTGAAATTGAAATGTGAGTAATAATAAGGGAGAAAATTTTAAGTTATAAATATTTTAGAATGCATTTTTTTTTTTTTGAGACGGAGTGCTCTTGTTGCCTAGGATGGGGTGCAATGGCGCAATTTCGGGCCACTACAACCTCTGCCTCCTGGGTTCAAGCGATTCTCCTGCCTTAGCCTCCCAAGTAGCTGGGATGACAGGCATGTGCCACCATGCCCGGCTAATTTAGAATGCATTCTTTTACATTTTTTCCCCATAAAAATGAGAGGAAGCTAAAAACCTTTGGGTATTGCTTTAAACACTTTGGATAAGAGGACTTAGAATAATGTAAGGTTATTGTTAGTAGCAGAAATAACAATAATTTTTGAAAAATATTAATATTTGCAGCAGGATTAAATGCCAGTGATTATCCTTTTTGCTTTCTTGTGTTTATGTAGGAGATTCCATTCAGCCAGACGGTACCAGACCCCCTTTGGAGAGAAGCTGATAACGTAATTTAGGTGGAAAGGTTTAATGAGATAATGATGCTAAGGCCAGTTAACACCTAATAACAACATAACCACGAGGGATGATATTGTTGCTTATTAATTATAATGATGCAGAGGAAAGAGGCAAGGTGGCACTCATTTAGCAGAGAGTATTCAGGAATAAGGCTGTTTTCCCAAAGGGGAAGTGTTGCAGTCAGAGGAGAAGTAGGTCAACATTTAGCAGAGTTTGAAATTTATGGCCATTGGGTTATACTAGCAACCACAGAACTGAAGGCCAAGCAGGAGGTAACAGATGCCTTCCTGATGGTGGCCAGGGATGGAGTGGAGACTGCTGTGGTTGCTGGGCCATGCACGGAGGCAGACTCCAGGCTGTTTTGGATTCCACAGTGGCCATTCGTGGGCAGACAGGCAGGTGTCCAGAACTGGACTGGATGTGCTTCCAGTTAGTTCTGTGACCTTCCCCTCCACTCCACTGGGTCGGGTGAGTCAGACCCAAGGATAGCTCTTAAGTCAGTGTTGGCACCCAACTTCGTTGAGGGGATCCAGAAGATTCTTTGGTCCTGTTTTTAGAGGTGCAGATCTAGCTGTTATCTGTTGACTTGCATTTATGATTTCTTGGTGTTAGTCATTAACCACATTCCACTTCCTGAATTTACTGTGGGTCTGGTCACCTCCATGTTTGCCCATGATGGCAAAATTGTAGTGTGAATTTATTGCAGCTACTCTAATGTCCACAGTAGTCAGGTGGTCAGGAATAGAGAATTTGAGGAGGAAACAGCCATGTGAAAGAAACATGGAGCTTTTTGGAAATCTTGTGACTCCTCAAGGGAGGCATAGAAGCTTGAAACACAGGACTAGCCTGGGGAAGTTAATTTGGGGCCAGGAAAGGCATATAAAAACTCTACTTCTTATTTACCTCCTTTTCCCGATATGGGTCTCTCTGTGAGTCCTGGATCCTAGGCTTTGCTGCCTCTTTTCTTGGGTCTTTGGATGCCAATGATAGGGGGTGGTTTTCTACACATTTTTGTGTAGTTAATTTTATTAGCTGGATGAAGATTACCTCACAGGATTTTTCTTGTCCTATGTAATGATCTCACTGACCCCTGAAATAGAAAAGAATATTCTCGTCATTAGCTTTTTAATGCAAGTATATTTTATTTTAGTAAATGTGTGGTGTTAGGCAAGAAGTGACAAGAGCTAGACTAGAAAATGGAAGATATAGCTCTAGTCCCAACCCTCATGCCCATCAGCTTTGTCACTGTGGACAAGTTGCATGCCTTTCTGAGCCTCAGTTTCTGCATTCATAAAATGAGGGGTTATTGAAGGTAATCTTTATGGTTAGAAAGCCATGTCCAGCTTTAAAATTATGCATTTATGCTTCTATGGTTCTACAGATCCTACATCTATTAAACTTATATGGGGGAATTAGTTGATAAACCCATATAAGAAGAGATATTTCCTTAAATCTACAGTTCAAAGTAGACAAAGTCAGAGTTAACAAGGAACCAATGCCATAACTATTGAGCATTAACTATGTGGCAGGCGCTTCACAGATGAGGAAATAAAGATTTTCCAAAGGTTAAAGAAATAGTTCAAGATCATATAGTCAATAAGGAGTAAGACCAGTGCTCAAACCCAGGCATCCCTGAAATTGAAGCTCATGAACTTCATCACCACTGTGTGCATCTCCCACTGTTTAGAACCCAAATGCTTATGTTTTATAACTTATGGCACCAGCCACCAGAAATTTCTTCAGTCATATTGGTTCCCAACTGGAATGCGGGAGGAAGCAAGGCAAGGAGTAGTTTGAAAACTCTTCCCAGTATATTCTGATACACATGTGTTTCTGTCTCTAAGTTCAGCTGCTCTCTTTGAGAACTAACTTGGCCAGAGTCATTTTGACATTATTACCTGAGAGTACCTTACTTGAAAATTTTCTGCTATATGCAGGTTCATGTTTCTGTTTCTTCTTGCATGTCTTCAGAGCAGGTAGAGACATTGAACACAATTATTCCTTTTCCAAATAGGGAAGTGAAGCAAAGAGAATTGAATGATTTAACTTTACTCACCTACCTAGTGGTCCCAGAACTGACATCTTCCATGCCTAAGACTAGCTGCCACAAGATATTGTCTTTCTAGCCAATTCAGTTAATAATGTATTTTATATAGAAGGTAAGTTTTACTATTTTTTTTGTTCTGGAGTTTTCCCTGTAAATAAAGTATTTTAGTGACATTAGGTTTTTGGTCTTTTGTTTTTTTATAATATCTGTAAAAGCAGCCTCACTGAAAAGTATCAATTGCAATAACCATTGACAAATGCCAGAGAAGAGCATAGTTTCTTAACCAAGAATTTCTGTTAGCAAAAAATTACTTTCTAGACACTCATTGATTTTTCCTAGAAAAAATGCTTCATCGAAATCACTACAAGGATTTAGGAACCCAAAACAAAGAGGGGCTATTCATTGTTTGTAACTTCTTTGAAAGTAATAAAAACAATCAATTTGTTTGAAAAGAAAAATGTTAAAACCTAGAATTTTAAATTGCCTTTCAATAATTTATTTTAATTCTTCATAGAAAAGGCCCCAGATTTAGTTGTTTTTTTTTTGTTGTTGTTTTCCTTGAGCTGGGGGGTCTCAGCTTGTTGCCCAGGCTGGAATGCAGTGATGTGTCTCCATTCACTGCAACCTCAACCTTTTGGGTTCAAGCGATTCTGTTGCCTCAGCTTCCCAAACAGCTGGGATTACAGGTGCCTGCCACCATTCCTGGCTATTTTTTGTATTTTTAGTAGAGATGGGGTTTTAACACATTGGACAGACTTAAACTCCTGATCTCAAGTGATCCGCCCACTTCGGCCTCCCAAAGTGCTGGGATTACAGGTGTGAGCCAACGTGGCCAGCCTGATTTGGTTTTAATTCACATTTCTTTGCAGCCTCAAATGATTTCTTTTGCTCTTTTTAAAAATTTTGGTTTTTTTTTTTTTCATTCTTTTTGCTGAATAAACTCATTATTGCTCAGTGTGGTTGAATTGAGCTCATTGTGAAAAATTAGAACCATCCAGATATAGGATTTGATTAAATAAAGATAACAATAGAGTACAGTATTATATTACCATTTAAAAGAATGAGGCAGCTCTGTCTATGGAATGATATCCAAGATATATAGTTAAAATTTAAAAAGCAAAGCACAGAACAATGTGTATGGTGTGCTGCCATTTGTATAAATACATACATACTCATTTCTATGCATTGCCTAACTGTGGAAGGATATATAAGGAACTGGTAATAGTCTTTGTCTCTGGGGAGAAACTGACTGACTCAGAAGTTGTAAGAAGACTATATCCTGTTGTCCCTTT